ACATTGGGTTCCAACATGTTAATTAACTAGGAACCGATAGAAAAAATCTTAAAGTTAGAAATTCTATTGAAGGGATCACCATTTTGACACATTCTCGTAGAAAGGGATAAAAGAAGTTTCATTTTATGTAAAAAAAAAAAATGTGACTTTTCAAGAAAGTCTTTGAAGGTTCATAACCTAGGGTGGAAAACACCCAAAAGTAGTTGAAAAGAAAGGTCTTCAAAAAATTTTGCTATAAAGTTATAAAAAAATAGAGATTGACAAGAGAGAGGTTTCAAGTTCAAGAAAAGACAAAAAGTTTAAAACGTAAAGAGATATGTCAAAAAAGTTGCAAAGTTTGAAGTAGTTATTATGTCCAACTAACAGTTATCATCAGTTGGGGATCATCAGTTATTGGTGATTATCACCAGTTGAAGACCAAAGACAGAAGGAGCTTATTGTAAGCAGTAGCAATTGTAGAAGAAGCATGCGCACAAGGTAGTTACTAAGAGATGCTCGCAAAAAAGAAAAAGTGTTGAATTGTATTTGTTTATAAATAGTATTAAGCTTTACATTCTGGGGATGACTTTTTGCACTTAACACCAACATTCAAAATCTCGGCAAGCCTAAGTTCTACACATTAGTTAGATATAGTATCCCTGAGATCAACAAACCTATGTTGATCATTGCTAAGAGTTGTATGTTACATTTATGCAAATTTATTTTACTTCTTTATATTTGTTTAATTATTTGTTTTATGACGTTGATTTACTTTATTATTTTAAGAATACACTTTAAAAAAATTTAAAGAAGATTTAAAATTTAATTCCAAATTTTTCTTGAATTTATTTATTTACTATTCACAATTTTCATAATAAACAGATATTCATAATTATTTTTGTCAGCCTCAAGTAATATATTGTGAAAGATATCTATCCTATGACCTAAAAAGTTAAGAGTTTGATATTAGTATGAATAAAGATTAGTATTTTTTTTGTAATATATTTATCTTCGATTATTTTTCCTCCTTCGCCTGTTCTTGAAATTTCAACATATTAATTGTAAAAAAAAGTAGTTTTTATATTTTCTTGTTTACATTTAACAAACGTAGGATTATATAAACAGCCTCTCAAAGTAAGTTACTTTGAATTTGAAACTTTTGGGAATTAACGATTAGAAATATCTACTTCGACTTAAAATCAGACTTTATTTTATAGTTTGTTAAGCATGAGAGCGAAAGTTCTTCTTAATTATACTTCATACGTGTTTGGGGTAAATAAAATTTTTTAAGTTATTTTTCCTGCTAGAGACTTTCGTGGTAAGAAACAGACTATGTCCTTTCAAAGAGTTTCTGAAGATTTTCTAGTCCTTGTACTGAAAATAACTAAAACTAGTCGAAATACAAGATTAATAAGAAAAATATTTGAAATCCACAAAATTGAAGGTTTTTTGAGAAGTTTTTGAGAATTTTCAAGTCCCTGACACCCAAAATTGCTCAAAAAATAGGACTGATAAAAAATTATTCTAAGTTCACAAGACTGGAGATCTTTCGAGGAGTTTTTGAGGATTTTGAAGTCTCTGACACTCAAAACTGCTCGAAAAATAGGACTGATATGGAAAATATTCTAAGTTCACAAAACTGAGTGAGATCCCTGACTTCCCTCAGAATTACTTGAAAATCAAGAATTGATGAGAAAATTATTGTAAGTACATATGACTAAAAGAACTTTCATATTTCTTCCAGAATTGGTCGAAAAGTAGAAAATGAGGGAGAAATTATTCTAAGTCCACGAAATTAAATGAGTTCACAAACTTTCCTCAGAAATTGCTTGAAAAATAGGAACTTACGGAAAAATATTTTAAGTTTACAAGAGACATGATAGAGCTCAAAAAGTGATATCGAAAAAGTTACAAGGCTCAAAACAGTTATCAACGGTTATCATCGGTATAAGATTTAAGACACGAAAAAAGGTCGTGGACGATAGCAATTATGGAAGAACTCCCAACCAACAGTACGATCATAAACAATCATAGATAATTGATAGCAGCGATTGAAAGCAAGCATGTATGAAAGACAGTTGCTAAGTAGTACCCGTGAAAAGAGAAAAACAGTAATGATTCATCTGCCTATAAATACTACAAAGCTTCAAACAGATTGCAAAAACGAGCAAATCTGAGAATCAGAAAAGTTTGACCAAGTGATAAGACTGTTGCGATGTTTTTTTGTGAACAAGTGGAATCAATATGCCATTTACGTTTTACAAGTAACAGTACCCCTTATGCTGTATGGTTAAAATGTTGTTGCTGGATGCGGATGCCAAATGGTGGGCTGTTTGGTTTGCTGTGATTTGGTCGCTTGAGACACACACCAAAAATATAATATTTTCTTTTAAATATACTCTTCAACGAACTAATGGGTGCATAACAGGGTGTATGTATTTAATGTCTATAAAGTGCTGAATTTTGTACTCAGTTGCGTAGTCCTTGTACCCCTTTAATTTAATTTCTTCTTTGGCAGACAAAAAATACATAAAAATATATGGTAGTTGGTAGCTGTAAAGCACCAAGTAATGGAAAATTATCAAGGCTGAAGTGTAAAGACATTTTACTTGGCGAAAGAGGAAATGCAGGGAAAGGAAAAAAACTATCATGTCACCTTAGAAGTTAAAAGCTATCTTTCTTGGCTAAGGGGCCCTGTTCATGCAATTTCGGAAAAGTAAAGCTTTAAAAGTTATTACCAGGAATTATTTACTAAAGAAACAACTGTTGTGTTTGCCATTAAAAAAATTTATGTCGAATTTGAGAATTTATTAAAGAAACAATGAAACATAAGAACACCCGTGATTGTTTGAAGTATTTCAATTGTTGTACCCTTTTGCCAATTTAGTGTAATACGACTGCAGATTAACTTTCAGTAGTTCCTTTCTGCAATGTTTGACATTGTCTATGACTGGACCCAAGGTCCTAACATCACTAATGTTTGTGTGCGCTGTCGCCCGTTCAAATTCATCACATGCTTGTCACACGCACACAAACGTATAAGAATCTATTACAAGACGAGAACAATAAATACATATATCATTAAATTTTATTATTAATTAATTTTTAATCTTAACCATCTATACATAATTGTATTATCTAAGTATAAAGTTCTCACAATTTTATATTAAAAAGCTTATCTGACTAGATATACTCCTTACATGTGTGAGTAATATTTATTAAAATGGTTTGCGTTTTAAAATTATGAAAATTATAACACAAATGTTAACTAGAAATGTTAACTTATGAAAATTATATTAATTATATTTTTTATTTTAAAAAATATATTGATTTTAAATATATTTATTTAAAATATAAATTTTATCTTATCTCTAAAACCCCTAAAAGTTTACATCTCCGGTGCATCACATCCTAATTACACATTATAGTGAACTATAAATTTAAAAGAAACGTAGAAGCCACATCTTATGACTTAATTTTAGCAATCTTGCATTTAAAAAAATGAATTTAAAAATAAATATTTTTCAAAATAAAATAAAAATAACTTATCCTTCTTAAATTTAAAAAAAATTAAATAAAAATCTTTTATAAATAAAAAAATATAAATTATTTTTTACTTTTGAAAATAATTTGATAATTATATACTATATAATTTTTAACCCTGTTGAAGAGTTTATCAACACTCATTATACCAGAAACAAATTTTTGGAGCACTAACTTAAAAAGTGGTTAGTAGAAACCACTTTATAACAATATATTTAGAGATTGGTTAATCGATCTCAAATCTTTGCTTTTATATTCACTACTCTTTAAAGTCACTTTTAGAGAGTGGTTAACTGCTCGCCAAAGTCTTTAACTTTTATAAATGAAACACGTTTAACTAATGAATCTCTTCGTCTTATTAACAAAGTTAGTCATTTTTACCTCTTTAAGTTTTTTTTGTCTTTTATGCATTAACAAAATTGGTATCTTTAGTATCTTTCACGTCTGTAAATTCTCTTTATCTTCTCTTTTTTGTAAGTTTTCTTTTTTCTTTCATATCTATAAGTTGATATATATTGTTCTTTTTTTCTCTATTTACTTGTGTTTGTTTCATGGATATGTAGATTGTTAAGTTAAATACAACGTATAAACTTAAGATTCAATTTTGATTTGTGATAAAAGTGAAAAAATTTGAATATTAGACCTATAAATTAAAATTTAAATATAATAATAAATTAATTTTAGTTTGTAATAGAAATCTAATAAAGAAATAAATTTTAAATCTTAGATTCACAGTTTATACATATACTTTAAAAAGCAGTTTCATGCGAAACTGCTCTTTAATCTTATACCTATGCTTTAAAGAATGATTCTAAAACCGCTCTCTAATCTTAATATTTGAGAATAGTTGTTTAACCGCTCTTTTAAATGCAACAAATTTGGTAATGCAAGATTTTAAAGTAGTTTTAAATACTCTAATTTAAAATAAAACTACTCTTGTATCTCCTTTCTAAGACCGAAAGATAATCAAGAATTCCATTGGTAACCAACAACACATTTAACGAAGTCAGTGTATCCGTAGGATCAATCAAATCAAGTAACCCTATGTTTTTCCTACATGAGATTCAATTAATTAAAAGAGTCATGATGCCTGTTTCCTACAAATTTCAAAAGCAAAAGCCATTGGATTCACCATTAAAACGTCTTGGTTGCAAGGCTAAACATTTTTGTGAACACGCAATTATTTATAATTTTCAAGTGATTGAATTCATTATAAAGCAACATTGCAGACATTTAGAAACAATTAGAGTTGCTAATACAACCTTACAATTATTCCCTTAATAAACTAGTCTAGCTAGCACCCTGACCCTGTAAAAAAGTTCTAAACTTATTTTTAGCAAATTAAAGAATTGAAAGCTTCATACAACAGTACCCTTTTTTGGCATTCCCATGAATTCAACACCCTCAAATCTAGCTTCCCTAACCTTTGGGCAAAGTAGCTTGCATTAAGATCTCAAGCTCCTTTCCAAATGGAACCTTTACTGTGTCTGGGGAAACATCTGTTGAGGGAAATAATTGGATTCAGGTTGGATCTCCTTGAAGTCTTCCACTGCATGGTGGTGTAAATGCCACTCCCTGTCTGAAACAAACTGCCTGGCCATGATGGCTGCTCGGTTTTCAGCTATCAATTCGCGCAATGCAGCACTGCATCTTATGGAGAGATCAGCAGGAGAAAGCCAAGAATCACTCCTAGATGACAGAAGAGAGAGAGCACACCCTCCTGATGATAAGTATGGAAAACCTCCAACCATCAGCATATTGTCTATCAACAAAGAAAGTTATACTGAGATTACTTATATCAATTTACTTATCATTATCAATATTATTTTTTCTCTACATACATACATGCATAAATGCACCTCATTTGTAATTATCTTTCAGTAAGATAATAAAAACGAAACATAGAAGAGATTAAAATGTATGAAGGACAAATCAATAGTGTGATTCCAAATGTATCCTTACAAATTAAATCTAGCAGTTATCCTTTGACCGCAAACACCACAAGTAGCCCTTGTGAGTTCAAAATAAAAAATGACCTAGATATGAAATGAATTATTTCATTCAAGAATATGTATTCGTAGTGAGCTAAAGAAGTAATAGCTCAATCATTGTATTAGATATCAGATCGGTATGACCTATGAAAGCAGTGTTAATATGTGATTTATTGTATTCAGCCCTTTCATTAAAGCTGAAAGCTAACCTGAAACATTGCAAACTTGAAGAACAATATAATTTGATCAACACATTCTGCTGAACAAGAATGTTACAGTTTATTTTATGTAAGACTATCTTATTACTAGATGTACGCATATTGGTCCACGTGCTTGAATCACAAATTTACACCCATGAGCAAACCATTATTATAAGTACCCCAATATAAAACTTCAGTGAGTTTGAGATCACTATCATTTTGCATGAGGTTGGATCAGTAGTTTGTCTTGACCATGCATCCACTCATCTTACCTAGATGTTTAAGATTTTTTTCACAATGGTGTATTAATCCCGTTGAGTGTTTAAAACTTGTTCGCTAGTTTTCTGTTGAGCTGAAAATTGTATGAGTTTAAATATCCTTTACATTTTTTTAATAAATCTTCGTTGCTTAAAAAAAATTGTTTCAAGATTAAAAGTTATATTAAAACCTGTCATCACTTCTACGTCACCTCACTTTATTTTCTAATCTAAACCAAACATGGATGATTTAAAGTTAAGAATTGATCCGCTCAATCTCACAATAAAGCATTCCACTAGATAATGCCCCCAATGCATGTTCACAGAAGCGAACACGTTAGTGAATGAATAAAATATTGCCATACCTTTCCTTTAACCCTACAAGGGTTTGGAAGGAAGAAACATCCATTATTTTTTAGCTACTAGTCATGAAAATAATATCAGAGAATGTACATATTACCAATCAATTCTAACAGGTGTCGTTGTTTCTTAAAATTATCATAAGTGAGCATTATATCATCTGAGCTATTCACAAGTAGAATTTCAAAATTAATTTTCTTAAATTTATAAATGATGCCCGAAAGTGTAGATAGAGTCAAAATCATTAGTGGAGTTGGAGATGTCTTTTCTCAGGTGCGGAATGAAACAAAAAATTAAGAAAGAATTAATAGAAAAATTTGAAATGAATAAAAGAGTACTACAGCTGATTATCATGTCTTTAATTAATGAACCAACCCATCATATGAAAGATTAGGAGCATAGAAACCTTAATCAATTTATATGTCAAGGACACTCCAACAAAAAGGTTAATCCAGTAATAAAGCCTACTGAGCCCCATCTAAGCTTCGTAAGGGTACAAATCACTTCATACTTAAGTCATCATTCCTATTACTATAGTAGTCAAGTTTAATTTGCTTAGTTTGAGATTAGACGAATTAGTTGGTTGAGTCAACACAACTATTTTGCTATGAGTTTGTTATAGTTTCTCTTCTACATGCTCACGTTATATCAATGGCATTGTACAAATTAACTGACTACTTGTTACAATGCATTTTTATAGCCATCAAAGGCATGTTGTTATTTGAATTTGAAATGAACATAGTTTAATAATTATTTTACAAATCATTTGATGTATAATTTCATTTGTTGTAAATATAAAATTGATGAAATTTTAAATTTTTATTTTCAATTCTAAATTTAAAATATTCCAAGTGGATCATATCATTTTCAGCTGCTTCAACAGCATATAGCACTACTTAATTGCTTCATTCTTGAAAATTTGATCCTATATGAATTCCTCCTGTAACAAATTTTAGTATTATATCAAAATCAGTTGTCTGAATTCATATCCTGAAGAAAGAGAGGGTGAATATACTATGAATTGTACAGTTTAAATTAGTGTACACAGTTTATTTTTACTTTTGTATTTTTCTACTGGTAACTACAACTATACTGTTTTGACAAAAGGACCAATTGGTACAAGTGTCCATTACCTGTCGCCAGAGAAAGGGAGAAAAACAAAACAAGCGAAAATCAAAACTATGTATAGACCAGCAACTGTTACTTGGTAACCCTTCAGCACGTGAAATAGTACAACGTTAAGGTTTCTAATGCTTTCGACCTTTGAAATATGCAATTATGATGAAACGAAATAATTAATTATGTGAGAAATTAGAGTAAAATTTTGGATGGTAAATCGATAATATATATTGATCAATTCAAAACAAAATACTTCCAATGTTGTAGTTACTGATTGTTCAATCAAAAGTCAAAGCATGAAAAATGATAAATTAATATATGCATGCAGCTGAAACAAAATTAATGCATCGACATGTACAAATTTCACAAAAATGTTATAATACACATATCTTTAGGATATCTAATAGTTAGCAATAGAATATTTCAATCTTGTAGTTCTTTGTTTTGTTAATTTTGTCACTAACTGAAAAATCTATCCAAAATTTATTTCAGTTCAGTACATCCAATATTATAAGACTTCATTCAATTATTGAGTAAAGGGAACTATAATAAGACTCAACATAAGATGACAGATAGAAACCGCATCAAATAGCATGATAGAAATTCAATGTTGCTTTTGCAAAAAGCATATGAAATAGCTGCAAATTCACCAAGACCCATAAAATGTGAATTAACACCATTTACCTTGTGAAGAATTCCTTGCAACAGAATCATGGGAGCTCTTTCTTCTTCTCTCATTGTGACCTGCCAGTCTCCTCCTACAACTTCTCTTAGAATCGTCAAACTCCGATACGACATGAAACCTAAAAAGTCCAATTCCCACCACCATATTTTCTCTATTAAAAATCTAAATCTAAATCAACTAATGAACCAATCCTAAAAAATATAATAATAACAAAAACTTAAACAATAGTAACCCCCACACACATATACTTATATACAGAGCGAGTTATCAAGTAAAAGAACTACTTTTATTTGAGAGTAGGAAGATAAAATCAATCATATGATCATACAAGAAACGTCGAGATTCAAGGCAGCTTAAACTCATGATCACATACAAAGGACACGTGAGTATTGAGTTTAAGCATTTTTTAAAAATGATATTAAGAACGTATAAAAAATTTATTTTTAAAATTTTATGAAAAATAGATATTATTTTTCGTTTAGTTACAATTACAAAATCAGCAATTTTTATTCTAAAAGTTAGTTTTAATTTTATCTTTTTTTCTTTTAAGAAACTACTCAGAAACGATATCTCAAAATAATAAAGACAGACTATTTTTTCAAATTCTATTTTTTAAAAAAGTTTAAACTAACTCATTAAAAAAAATAAAAGTGATTTTGATTATTGATATAAAATAATTAAACTCCAAATCTTGATTATTCAAGATAAAATCTAATAATTAATATTAACGACTCTGGCATATATATATATATATATACACACACACCTAAGCAAAAAGATAGAAGTCCTATGACAATCCAAGTGGCATTCAAATCATTCGTAAAAAAGTTAATATTATTTTTACATAATTCAGCTAATTGTTAGTTAAATTTATTCAAATCTATAAAAACACGTTAGAGAATAGTTATATTTGAAGTGAAAAATAATGAGAAAAAAGGGTAAGTCTTGAGTAAGTTCATTTAAACCACAAGAAGAAAAGAGTAACAGAAGACTAAACTCAAACAACTAAAGTTTGTGAGAGATTTAATTGTTAAACTAAAGAATATAACATCTTTATTCTTCAGATACCGGAAGCGTCACAGCAAAATAAAACGAAAAATCATATCAAGGCAAGGTAGATTTGTGTAAAAAAGAAACATGCAAGGTTTGAAAGGTATCCACAAGAGTATCATATGATTATTCTTCCGAAATAGTCACAACAAAATATAATACAAATAAATATATATTAAGAAAATGATACTTTTCAGTTACCCTTACAAATCACAAATCTAGACTCTTAAACAAAAGATTCGAGAAATATCAGATTTAAACAGGATCCTCCGAGAAATGAGTTCACAGAATTAAATAATATTCCATCTTCATTGTTCTGGGTCATTAAAAAACAATAGGAAAAATCAAGGTAAAGTATGCAGAAGAACAAAGAGAGAGATAATGATAAAATGACCTGCTACACTGCTGACAGAACCTCTGCTCCATCCCTAACACCACAACTTTGGGAGCCTTGGAATGCATCTCACAAACCTTGTGCCTCCGGTGGTAGTCCTTCGCATTCAGCAGCGCCACGTGGCATCCCTCCACCTGACACCTCGGCACTGTAGCCGCCGTGAACCCCACCGTCTTCACCCCACCACCGCCGCCGGAATACCCTTTCCCTCTCTTATCCCCCAACACCAATCCTCCACCACCACCTCCGCCGCCGCCACTACCACTCCCACTGGCGTCCTCAAAGTAATGCCTCTTCCCAAGCTTCAAGCACATGAGATGCGGGTCCGGGTGCACGTGCGACCCATCTCCCACGTACGGATTCTGCTGCTGGCGCTGACGCAGAACACCGTCGTTTCGGGGGAGAAACATGAGCGCGTTGGCTAGTCCAGCGGAGTCGTGACGGTTCGCGGGGACAGAACTCTCCGCCGCCGTGACGCCGCCAACGACGGTGTTGTTAAAAGCGTTGACTAACCTGGAACCGTTATTACTATTGTTGTTATTATTAGCAGCAGTAGTGGGGGTGGTTGTTTCCCATGTACCCCAAGCAAAACTGTTACTGTTACTGTTTCCATTTTGGTCTCTGTTGCCAAGACAGAACATGTTCCCTTCAAACTCCATCACTCTCTCTCTCTAAAAACTTTTAATTTTAGGATGCAAAGAAAAGGAACAGTGGTGTGAAATACGGAAGCTATGGGAATAGGCCTAGCGGTGATGATATGATAGTGGTGATGATGACGATGAACAGAAGTGGAACGGGGGAAGGAGCATTTCTGAGTGAGATATTTTCTTTCTCTTTTTCTTTTTAGTTTGGTATGAAAAGGGTATAGAGAGAGGTTTCTTGCTTTGTTTTGGTACAATGGAGAGAGTTTAAAGTACTCTCTCAATGGGGGAAAAGCTGCAAGGGCTAGTGATTCCTAGAGTGAGAGGGGAACGGGTGAAGTGCTTCCAAAACCACACGTAAGAGGAAAATGAGTAATGATAGTAAATGGATCAAAGATAAAGCTAGAGAGAGAGAGAGAGAGAGAGAGAGAGAGAGAGAGAGAGAGAGAGAGAGAAATGAGTGATAAGACATAAGCGGATCAGAGGACACTCTCTCTCCCCACTCTGTTTCTCAGCTGAATAATGCTGCTTGCTTGTATTCCAAAAACAACTATTTTAAATTAGGTTTCAAGATGCTGCACCCTCCATGTGATGTTAATCGAATATTTCTTGTAAATTTTTGGTAAAATTAAGGATAAAATATTTTATTTTAAATCATTCCAAATAATCTGTATCCTAAAAATGACTTGAAATTTTCTCTTTTTTAATTTATAAGATGAAATCTTTTTAAATTGTCAATAAAAAATTTACAAATCCTACATTTCAAAAGCGTGTTTATTTTTTAAAATTAATTGTAGTTATCACAAAAGCATTTCTTAATGACGAAATAAATGAATTAAATTGCATGAAATTATTTTTATTTAATTTATGGTTTTAACTTTAAGTTTTAATCAATATTTCTTTTACAATAATCTTATTCAGAAAAAAAAATTAATTATTTAAATTTAAACATCTTATGATATATATATATATATATATATATATATATATATATAAATTTATTATCAAATATGGCCTTCCAATTGAGTAAATTTTAACTTTGAAAACATAAATATAATTTCAATGAAGTTTTTATTCTTATGCTTTTCCCTTGGTTTGAATAGTTCTGACATACGTTATTAAGAATTAATATTTTGATAAATAAATATTATATTAAATAATTTTCATTCAAAATTATCACTTTAATAATATGGTATATTTAGAATTACAATATAAGGAAAATTATAAATTTAATACATTACCAGTAAAAAAAATCAAATATTAATACGTAAATAAAATAAATAATTAAAAGTAATAAATTATTATTAAAAAATTTATCGAATAAAAAATATATAATAAATATTATATTTTGAATAAAAAAATTACACTTTGAAAATATTGAAATTCAGTACAAACAACTGAAATTAACAAAACTGATAAAAATAATGAACTAATCAAACTCAGAAGAGCCTGAATCAAAATAATATGAACTAAATTTAAATAAATAAAAATTATATAAAATATATATTTTTTAATACTATTGTAAGTAGTTCAGAATTCTTGGTGTTCAAACTAAAATATTATACATGGCCACTTTTTATATAGATATAAAATTTATATAAAATTATATTTTATAAATTAAATATGTAAATTTGGATATAATATGTGATTAAAAAAACTATATTTTTATATCAGTGTAAGTTATACATATTTTTGTACGGATAATAACTTTATATAAAATATAATTTTTATCAATTTAATTATTGTATTATAATTATATCTTATTTTAATTATTTGGCTCAAATTTTATTAACTTAAATAATTACAAAAATATAATCAAATAGTCTTTATTGTTATATATTTCAAAAGTTTATATTATACTAATTTTTAATGATAAAATATTAAATAATTTTAAATTAATCTAAAATTTTGTAATATTAAAACTTTTAATTTAATAACTAAATTTTAAATTAAATTATCTAATAAAAATTTATCAAACGATATAAGAATATATATATTACTACCCTCATTTCTTACAAACTTTTAACATATAAATAGATAATATTTGAAATATTGTTAATATTTAAATTATATAAATAAATAAATTTTAGTTTAAATTTACTCCATTCATATATATTATCTTTTTAATGATTATATTATACTCTGTCATTGTGTAATATTTTTACTCTTATAATCTTTTGAAAATTATAATTTTTCATTTTTATGAATTATTCACTCAAAATAGTTTTAGTTTATAATTTTTTTTGCAAGTTTTTACACGTCCTATCATGATTGTTTTCTTTTATAAATCATAATTTTACATTTTTTTATATTGCTATATTTTTATATTATACACAATAAACGTTTATGCATGATACAGGTTATCACGCTATTACTCATACAAATACTTACTCCTGATCGGAAAAAACATTTGACAAATATTGATCAATCTTAAATTAAGAAACCGAGAAACACATAATAATTTTAAAAAGAGATAAATAAGTAACAACAAAAGATAATCCAAGAAATTGAACTTGAATTTCCCGTGAGCAAGTCACTAATAGCTGAACACTGTGGTCCAAGAGAATCTCAAGCTCCAAATTGTATTTCAATTTCTGTTTTCTAATATCATGAGTACGGCTTTAAAAGAGGAAGAGATTTTTATTTTATTTTTTAGGTGTTATTTGTATTGTTTAAATTTTGTTTTAGTAAAAGTTATTCAATATTATTAAAGATTGCTGACGTAAAATGTTAATCTTAATTAAAGAAAAACATGAAAAATTCATTTTGTTTTTTACCTTGAGTATTTTTTGAGAGTCATAAAAGTTGTGTGGTAAGTAGAACTAACAACAAACTCTTGCATAGGGAGTTTCGTGAATGATGTTTGTTGGTTGTTGGCCAACATTCTATTTTCGAGTGAGATCAAATTGTGACATAACTGGAAAGGGAAAAAAAAAACCGTACATTGAGTAAAACTAAGTCTTTGAATTCGATAGTAAGTACTCAATCCAACGGATTTGCTACATCAATAGGAAATAGACTTGGTGGTTCAAACCTGCCTGCAAATATTCAAGTCATGACTTGAAAGTTAGGTACACATAATCGTAAATGATCTTTGAAATAGCACGTTTTGTATGAAGCTTAAAATCCAACGACTATCCTTAAAAAGATTAATTGCAGGACCACTTTCCACATTTTGGCTTCTACTTCAACAATTGGCAAAGATCCACCGATCGAGGAAGATAGATTTTCCTTTTATATCACTTTTCAAATTAGGTATGACCATTAACAGGGAGATTCATTTGGTTGGATCAACTTCATTAATCCAATGAATTCAATTTTTCTATCTCATAATTAGGTTTATTTTATTTGTTTTTAATTGAACCAATCCCAATTAAACCAAAGTGATTTTTATATATATGTTTTCAGATTAAGAATTCTTTTCTTCTGTTAATAAATATTTTAATTAGTATTCTGAATTCGAACATTTTCTCTCTATTCCGTGGTGCTTGCTCAGTTGCTCTTGTCAGCTTCTTCTCAATGGCACCGTCACCCTGTCGTTGACTCTTTTTGACGGCGATTGCTTTCTCTTGTTGGCCCTATTCAAACATAATGATAATTTATATTTTTAAATTAGTATTAGCAACACTAACTTAATGAAACAAAATTAATGAAATATTTTGAAACGTCATTTTGGTCAATGCTTTATCTAATGTTTTTATCGTATTTTGTTCACTCTTTATGGTCCCATTTTATCCTCCTTTTTTATCATGACACAAAATCCACCAACACCGATCCTAGTTTCAGGTTTCTAATTTTTATTGTAAAGCATTCACTGAAACCCATCGACTGAAATAGTCCATTGACATATTTAGTTTGATTTTAAAACTTGATTTGATTTGTATATCAACATAGTATAAATTTAGAATGAATCAAATGGCAAATTATTTTTAAAATCAATATCAATGTAGATAACAATATGATAGTTTAAATTATTCTGAAATCCGTTGCTGAGTTCATTATTTTGGGAGTATTTTTCATCACTTTCAAACAACTGAAAACAAATAGGTAATACCGAAATACAATGAGGCCAATTCATTTCGTGTGCTTTCCATCTTATTTTTCTTTCGATTTCTGAATTTAGTTTAATTGATAATGTTCATTCCTTTAATCCATTTTATTCTACAACTTTTTCATGGTTTTTGGAATATTATAGATTTTTAACATTTATCAAAATTGTTATTTTTTACCACTAAATGCGTGAATCAAGTCATCTAAAATTATTATAACTTAATTTATGTTCTCGTGTAAATCTCTAAAAATATGGACGATTCATCTACACCGTATAAAGAACTGCAGGGAATGCTTTTGTTCTCTTTTCATGTCCATCTCAACTTGTTTATCTATTTGCGTGATGTACCGTATCTCAACAAGTATACCCACTGCCTAGACCTTGAACCCCTATAGTTTTCAATTCTCGCAGACCTCGTCATAACTGAGAATGAATGATAAAGAATGTAGTAAACAGTCAGCTTTTCAGTTTAGGACTATAAACTACAAGAATGTGTTTTGGTTTACAAAGAAAAAAATTGTACTTAATAATACTTATGAAGGTAATATTTATAATACTTTTTTCTTAGTAAATAAGTCATGAATGCATTGTTAAATTAGTAGAAGCTGATCTATAATCTATACAATATAAAAGTTAGCGTATATCTCAATATTGTTGAGATTGGAGTGGATGGTAACGGTAACAAAAATATAATAATTTTTAAATGTTCAAGTTTTTATACATTTAAAAGCATGCATAAGTATACAATTTTAGTTTATAGTTATTTTATTTTGTCAAATGTCACATATTTTTTTATAAAAAGAAAAACTCCAATGAGCATCATTCAGTTCATTAATTCATTTCTTATGAATTTAATCTAATTAGATAATAATTTTAATCTTACTTTTTTAATAGATTTAATCTTTGATAAGTCCGTAATTAGGCTCTTTTCTACCGTCCATATATTTATGTTTAACCTTTATTTTAA